CCCAGCCCCACTCCAGCACCTTCATCCACTGGGTATGTTGAGGTCTGGGGGGGCTGGGGGGTCCCCCAGTGTGGTCGGCTGAAGTGGGACCTGGAGGTGTTGGTCTTCATCCTTCTGGGGCTTGTTCCTGAGGGGAGAGGGAGGATGGGGTGCGGGTGGTTTTGGGGGGCTCAGGTGGTTTTCATGCTGCTGTTGCACTCCCTTCCCCGTTGACCTGTCTGTCCATCACCCATCCGTCCATCTTCAGAGACATCCATCTGTCCAGCCTTTCATCCATCCATTGCTGTGCTCTTCTTTGTATCTGTCCATCTGTCCATCCACCTAGCTTTGTCCAGTTTCATCCACTCCTGTCCATCCATCCCATCCATCCATCCATCCACACACACAACCCGTCCTCCATCCCATCCATCCACCCAACTGTCCATCCATCCCTCTGTCCATCCCCACACACAACCAGTCCTCCATCCGTCCATCCCTCCCTCCCTCCATCCATCACCACATACAACCAGTCCTCCATCCATCCATCCATCCATCCATCCATCCATCCATCCATCCATCCATCCACGCAACTGTCCATCCACCTCATCCATCTCCACACACAACCCATCCTCCATCCCATCCCTTCATCCATCCCCACATAACACCTAGCCTCCATCCATCCCTCCATCCATCCATCTCTCCATCCATCCCCACACACAAGCCCTCCATCCATCCATCCGTCGCTGTGTCCAACCAATCCTTCTCTCCCACCATCCCTCCCTCTGTCCACCCATCCCTCTGTCCCTCCCCACCATCCCTCCCCTTGTCCCTCAGTCCCTCCGTTCCCACCTGCCCTCCACCTCCTCCACGGTCTCGGGCAGTGCCAGGTTCCGTGTCTCTGGCAGGAAGATGGCCGCCAGCCCTGACACCACGGGGGCTGCCCCGTAGATGATGAAGGGCAACGCGGGGAAGACCTCGCCCGCCATCTTCACCAAGGGGGCCGTGATGCTGCCCAGACGGGCCATGGTGTTGGCCAAACCCAAGCCCGTCTGCCTGTGGGACACCGAGAGGCCTTCAGAGGCCAGCATGCATGGTCGTGGTCACCCCACCACCTCCCACGACCTCCACCCCAACTCCTTACCGGATAACGGTGGGGTAGAGCTCACCCGTGTAGAGGAAGACGCAGTTGAAGGACGCGGCCAAGCAACCCTTCCCGAAGACGGCCAGGACGGTCCGGACCGTCCGCAGGTCTGTGGAGATGAGGACAGGACAGCCGGGACTCACTTTGGTGTCACTGGATGGAGTTGGGTTGGGTTGACGGTGGGTGATGGAAAGAGGAGACCCCAAACACCGGGATTTCAGGTAAATCGCCCGTAAAAAGCTGAAATCCCTTGGCCCGTGAGTTGCGTTAATGGGTCGAGCTTGATGTGGCCCCCCCAGCCGGTGCCTGGTGGGGTGAAGATGAAGGGGACACCACCACCCCTCTCCAGCCCTCACCTCGTGGCACCAAGATGTTGGCCAAGATGGCCAAGCCGGCCAGGAAGAGGGCAACGCACTGGGTGAAGCGCCGGCCCACGAAGGTGATGGTGAGGATGGAGATCAGCTTGGCCGGGATGTCCACGGCCCCAAAGACCAGCTGGATCACGTAGATGTTGAAGTCAAAGTGTTGCAGGTCCATGGCCAGCCCATAGTAGGCGAAGCTGGTGGAGAACCTAGGCCAAGAAGAGCAAATGCCACCAGTGGGGAGGTGTGGGGTGGGATTTGGGGGGTCACACAACATCCCCTGGCCTGTGGGATCCAGCCAGGAGATCTGTGTCCTTTCCTGGAGCATGTGTGGGCCAAGAGAGCTCTGTTGACTGAGTCCTGCACTGTGACTCAGTTTCCCTTTCCCATAAGGACCCAGCTAAGGAGGGGGGGGTGGTCTTTGGGGATGGGTGGATCCACTACTGGGGGGACGGTTGGACAACCACCCACTGATGTCCTCCACCACCAGGCGTACCACACGAAGCAGAGGCAACAAGAGATGCGGCGCACGACAGGTGTCCGGACCAGGTCGATCACCGTGTGGCGACTCCTTGATGAAGCCATCTCGTTCTGCATGTAGGACCTCAAGGCCTAGGAGTTGGGGGAGCTCTGCAGTCCCGCTTCTCGGTGGAGGAGCAGGGGTGGGAGCAGCGGAGAGGGGAACCGGGATGGAGCTCGGGGCGGGGGGATGCAGCCCTGGGAAGGGTGGGTGGAAGGTGGGTGGGAGGAGGGACGGACAAACAGATGGACAGACAGATGGTCAGATGGGTGGATATGGGGGGGGTGGAGATGGTTGGTTGGTTGTAAAAGGGGCCCGATGGAGATGGAGGTGATGGAGATGATGGAGATGGAGAGGGAGGTGGTGGAGATGGAGGGAGGTGGAGGTGGTGGAGATGGAGGTGGTGGAGATGGAGGGAGGTGATGGAGATGGAGGTGGTGGAGATGGATGGTTGTAAAGGGGAGGGATGGATGCAGATGGCGCTAGATGGACAGCTGTCTACAGGGATGGATGGTTGTTGAAGGGGCTGGAAGGACGGATGTAGGGGAGCCCCACTGTTGGGGGCCAGGAGAGCGGGGTCACTTCCCCCCACCCCCTGTAGAACACCCTCGAGATGCCCCAGGGGACCCGGCCAGAGCCTTTTACTTCGATGTCAAGCTTGTCCCCTTCCTCTTTCTTCCCATTTATCCTGGCCACCTTCTGGAGCTCCTTCAGGGCTTGGTGGGACTTCCCCACCATGACCAGCCAGCGAGCTGACTCTGTGAACCACCTGCAGAGGAGACAGGGGCAGGATCTACCCCAACATCCCTCCAGCCAGCTCTCCAGGCTCCCACCCGGCCACCCAACCCTGCAGCCATCCCCACAGCTGCCGTTCACCTGTCCATCCACCTTTCCTGCTGTCCACCCATCCACGCAACCCTCCGTGCATCCCTGCATCCATCCCACCATCCATCCACACCTCCATCTGCCCATGCCTTCATCCATTCCTCCATCCATCCACATCTCCATCTGTCCATGCATCCATCCCACCATCCTTCCATCCACACCTCCATCTGCCCATCCCTGCATCCATCCCTCCATCCATCCACACCTCCAGCTGTCCATGCATGCATCCCACCATCCTTCCATCCATCCCTCCATCCATCCACATCTCCATCTGTCCATGCATCCATCCCACCATCCATGCAACCGTCCATGCCTCCATGTATCCATCCATCTCACCATCCGTCCACACCTCCATCTGTCCATGCATCTATCTCACCATCCTTCCATCTGCCCATCCCTGCATCCATTCCACCATCCCTTCTTCCATCCCTCCATCTGCCCATCCCTGCATCTATCCCACCATCCCTCCATCTTTCCATCTGTCTATGCATCCATCTCACCATCCCTCCATCCGTCCATCTCTCCACCCCTGCATCCATCCCACCATCCCTCCACACCTCCATCTGCCTATCCCTGCATCTATTCCACCATCTCTCCATCCATCCATACCTCCATCTGTCCATGCATCCATCCCACCACCCCTCCATCCCTCCATCTACCCATCCCTTCATCCATCCATCCCTCCATCTGTCCATCCCTGCATCCATCCATCCCTCCATCCATCCATCCATCCATCCACCAACCCACCCACCCCTCCACCTGCCCATCCCTCCATCTGCCCGCCCCTGCATCCCTCCCTCCATCCACTCCCCCGTTCCTCCCCCTCCTCCTCCTCCTCCTCCTCACCAGGAGTAGAGGAAGAAGCAGAAGAAGGGCAGCGAGACGGTGAGCTGCAGCCAGCGCCAGTCGGGGATGGCGTAGGCGATCCCGGCCAGCAGGAACTGCCCCGTGGTGTAGCAGTAACCCATGAAGGTCCCCACCACCGCCCGGGTGCGCGTGGGCATCCACTCCAAAGCTGCCGAGACACGCCCAGACGTGGAGCGGACCGGGAGCAGGGGGGACCCCCGTACCGTGGGGCTGGTGGTGGCCACGTACAGAGGGAGACGCTGTTGAGGATGATGCCGGAGAAGGCCATGCCCGTCAGGAAGCGGAAGAGGCAGTAGACGGTGAAGGTGGGGGCGAAGGAGGAACACGTCCCCATGGCACCCATCTGAAGGTAGCACCAGGTGAGCAGCGACCGGCGGCCAAACCTGGGCGGTGAGGAGGAGGAGGAGGAGGAAGAGGGAGGTGGATGACCCCCATGATGCTGCCCCACGTGCCCACAGGGATGGGGAGGTCCCACCTCACCTGTCTGAGAGCCCCCCGAAGATGATGCCGCCCACCAAGATGCCGGCCATGTAGAGCGACTGGGCCAACTGCTTCAGCCCCCGGGCGCTGCACACCAGGTCCCACTGCCGAGAGGCCAGGATATGGGGGGGGGGGGGGTCCGGGGAGAGCCCCCCTCTTCCCGCCCTTCTGTCCCCCCCCAGACCTGCCCGCGGTGGCTGGTTGAGCTTGATCCAACATGGTGGCCAACGACAACACCAAGAAGGCGCCAGTCAACACTTGGCTGCCCTTCCCAGCATCCTCGTGGCTGGAAGCTCCTTCTGGGGGTCACCTGGCCCCTTTTTGACCCCCTCGTTGATGGCCACCAGCCCCCTCATCCCCTCCCCTGTTTCTCGTCCTGAGCTCTCACGGCGTCGAGTGCCTCCACCAAGGGTTGGGTGGGGAAGACACTCCAGTTGGAAGAAGTCAACATCATGACGACGGCAGACCCTTCACTTGTGCCTCGAGGTGGGCACCGCGCACCGGATTGGGCGAAGCGTGCCGCCAGCCCCAAATCCCACCCCACCGCCGTCCTACCTCAGTGATGATGGTGCTGGTGAAGACGCTGCGGTCGTAGGTCCAACCGTCGCGGCAGGGCTCTGTCTCCGGCCAACTGCTGTTGGGAGCCGAGCCGTTGGCCTCCAAGAGCCACCACTGCGGTGTCACAAAACGCCGGCACCGCTCCCCGTGGGGAACCGAGACCCTCAGCAGGTCCTGGGGGTCGAGGCCGGTGGCGTTGGCCTCCCACCGAAGCCGGCAGTGATGATCACTGATGGCGGCCGTGAAGTTCTGCAGAAGGTTGTGACTGGCCATCATGAGGACGGGCAAAGCCAAGAGGAGAACCGAGACCACCTGGAAGCGTCCCATGCCCCCCACGTGCTCCAGGAGGCTGGCGAAAGCCATCTTGCCGCCGCGAGACCCCGGCAACGCCCCGCAGCCATGCACGCCCCGCCCTGGCGGAACCCCGAAAGGGATGGGTTTCACCCCGAAAAGAAGGCGCTTCTCTGCCGTGGTGTCCTGGCCCCACCAGCCCCACGGATGGTCTCCTTTATAACCTGGCCGACGGCGGCGTTGGGTTAATGGTTGATGTCCCGGGGGGGGTTCGGGTGACTTTTCCAGGCGGAAAAGGCAAAGGCAGGTGGGCAAAAGTGCAGGAACGGGGGGGGCCACCACGCTCCAGCGAAGGGTGGCCACCACCAAAGCCACCGGCAGGCCGGCAGCGGGAGC